GCTCTGGGACATCTTTTCATAGACAAATTAGAAGAGTCATTTTTCATTCACCTATAATTTTCCGAGCTTAGGGTAATTTTTTCAGCATTGATAATTTTTCGATGTTATCGCCGATCGTCGGCCAGAGCGACACATTTGGCAATGATCCCACTACCCTTCTTTAAAGAGAGGTGAATATTTAAGGCCAGATGTAATGGGGAGATTCAGGTTCCAGCCATATGTCGACTGTCTTTTCATCTATCTATCTATCTATCTATCTATCTATCTATCTATCTCTCTCTCTCTCTCTCTCTCTCTCTATATATATATATATATATATATATATATATATATATATATAGCTACCTCCAAAGAAAAGTGATACCTAAGGTTTAAAATGCATTTTAAAAAATGAAAAGTCTTTCTTGAACCTTTTATTTTAGTTTTTATTTTAAGCTAATAGATTAAATTTAATATTTCCAATGAGAAAAATACTTTGCTATATTTCAAGCTGAATTTAAATTGATTGGATTTTTTAAATCATTAAAATTGATAAAAATCAAGTATCTGCTAATACAACATGATTTTTTTCATTAAAACAATCTTTCAAAAATAAAATATACTTTCTGAAATTTTATTTGAGGAAGATTAGCTGATTTAAAGTTTAATTAATCAGATTTGAAGCAAATATTTCTTTTAGTTTAAAATATCGCAGGAAAGCTTTCTTTTTAACACAGGATGGGTGTTGATATGTCTCTGGATAAACTTATGTTTTGGGGATCTTTTCTACAAGGGATATAATTCTAAGAATTACTTGATGAATATAACGTGAGCGCCTTTTTATATAATTTTTAAGCTAACTAGTAATCTTGAAAATTTAGGAAAATATTCTAATTAATCTGATATTTTATTGTATTTTAGGTATTTTGGCTTTATAGTTTTACTTACAAAGACGATTGTTGAAGAAATATTAGAAAATTACCAATAAATATTAAATTTATTATAGTTACCACTCTTAATTTCTGATAATGTCATATATGGACATGCGTATTTACAAAAATCAGTACGTTTATACACACACATACACACAAAAATTCAAAATTCTTTATGAAATATTGATGGTCGAATTCAAGCTACCGTGTGTAAATAAAATGTTATTTTCTTTCAGCTTTAAGGAAAATCCAGTTAATTAATCTTTAAATTTACTAACAGACTTCGAAACACATCTCTAGGACAAATATTGGATTTTAAAGAGAATTTTAAATTTGTTGTTTACATTTTTTGTATACGAGTTCTATAAGTCGACGAGTGACGAAAAACGTGCCAATGTTTTTAAAATGCCTAAAATGTTTATTTATATACGGAAACTAATTTTCCTTTTAATTCCGATTAGCTTTAGGACATTATCTTTCAAATAGAACCGAAATTTAAGTTCAAAGAAGGCATTTAAATTATTTTAATGCATTTTCGGGCTTTCATGGGAGGGGGATAACTACTACAATGTGGTCCGAAAATCTTGTCATCCTTACCTAATATAATTTTCTATTTCAGATGGCTGACACGAGCTCCTATCTGAAAATGAAAGACCTTCTCGAGGCATGACAACGTCAACGAAAGTGAATGAACTGAATCCAGTACATGTGCTTTGTATTACCGTATTGTTTGTTCTATCGTTCTCTTTGCTAGTGCGTGACAAGACTTTCGGACCACCCTGTATATACATATCTTTCAATTTGAGTTTGGCAAATATCTATTTCACTTTTTTCTGATCAATCTATCAATTCAAAGTCTTCTTAACGAATAATCTTAATACTTACTAATTCATTTACCGTGATAAACATTCAAAAGCAAATATCAAAAAATTATAAAAGTTAAAAAAGATTTACTTTCATTAAAATACTTATTTACGGTGGAGTAATGGATAGTGGCTTGGATTGAGGAATCGGAGATCGGAGTTCGAATTCCAGCCGAATCCTTTACATTCACTTACGTGCTAATATCCTTGGGAAAAATATGAATCCTCTTCTTCTCCACCCCCTAAGCAAAGGATGGCAACTAGTCTACCGCGGAAAGAAATGGAAACCTACTGCGAGAAAAAAATCTGCTTCGTCAGTCATGTATCGAAAGATACATGATTACCTAAGTGTGTATCACTCATAGCACATAACTGACTGACTTATCCTGACTGACTGAAATAAGAACTATGACAGTATTTGGTAATATCCTCAGTGAATTTCCCTCAGCTTTCATATTTGTGATGACTTCAGTATTCGCCACAAAGCGTGGTTAGTCCACTCGAACAGAACTGATGAAGAAGGCAGATACTGCAGAGACGTCTCCTTCGCCTACAAACTATGTCTGATCATTGAAGAGCCCACGACATCAGGCAAACCTCCTTGACCTCTTCCTCACATCCTCCCCTGAAAAAATCTTCAAAGTTTTGCCTATCTTAATAGGTACTAGTCAGAGTCAAAGTTTATACCAAACCAAAAGCATTCCCTGATGTACCGTTCCATAAGACGATTTTTCGGCACAGTGTCATATCTTACATGGTTGGTGTATCTCTCTCAATCATCTTAAAACTGTTGCCCTCGTTTCAGAATGGATCCTTTCTGGAATGAAGAATTTTATATCCCAGAAGAAAATTACAGCAAAGACCGAACAGCTAACCCTCGTTCACCGCCGAATGTGCTGCAGCCATAGCTTACCATAACCACTACTACAATGTCCCTTACCGAGAGCGGTGTAGTATGGCGCATGCTGCTTTTAGAACTGTCCGCAATTAGAGAGTTTTAGAAGATGCAAAGCGTAGCTATGCATAAGCAGTCCAAGCCAAGGTCGAAAGCAAACAACTTGGATCTCTGAAATTCTGAATACAGGTAAAGCATCAGTGCCTACTATCATAAATGGCCTAAGGTCATCTCATCCGCATCAGATAAGGCAAAGCTCTTCGCCACAATCTTTGCCTCTAACTCAACGTTAGATGACAAATGGCATCTCCTTCTTAACTTCTCCCGTCTCACTAAGCAGAATCCCACTAATATTTTTATTACAGCCTGGAAAGTCTCAAGGCTTTTGATAAGTCGTAACCCTAAGAAGGCTACTAGTACAAATAAAATCCCGGTAATTGTCCTTAAGAATTATTAACCAGGCGTTATCTCGATCTTAGCGAAATCACTTCACTCCTACTTGAAGGAGAAACGCTTCCCAAGTCTGTGGAAGGTGTTAGGTGTATGCTTTGTTTCCAAGAATAAGGGTATTTCAAGCTTTTTAGTTATGGAATCATTGGAAGAATCTTTTCAATTATAAAGGCCTTCAGTAGGTCACTGAAGAGAGTTGTTAGCGGCCAGTCCTCCGAGGCCCAAGCAATCAATGCAGGCATGAATGATCTGCCGAAGAATATACTTCGATCATTTGTGAAGATCTATGCTGATGGCACAACAGTATATGGGATGCACCTCCAAAAACTGACTGCTGATCTCTTCTCTGACCTAGCTCTAACATATCAGTGAGGAAAAAACTGGTTGGTCACATTCAAAAACGAAACAAGTGACGTTCCATCATTACAGGGTTAACTCTGATTTTTCATCAATCAAATAAATTGAGCGCCTTAGGACTTCAACTCAGGCCGCAAGTGGAAATCATACATGCGATCCATTGCTAAATATGCTGGAAAAATGGTCGGTTCATTGTACTACCAATTCCACCAGTTCTAATCATCTGGGCATGCCATGCAGAGTGTTGCGAACCACTCACATTCCCTTCGTATTCAATTGTGTTCCATTGGTGAGATTACCGAAGATGATGCTTACCCAATCACTATAATTTTAATCTGTTCAAGGATCAACCGTTATGTTTTCCACATATCCGCATAAAATCTGCCTCTTCCTCTGTAACTCTCTACCTCGAGTCACTCTTGGGCCTTGAACAGGGTGAACATCATTGTAAAAAAAGAGTTTCTTCAAATGGTGGATATGTTAGATCTTATAAAGCAGCAAGCCATGCAAATCAGTTCAACCTAACAAAGCTATTAACCATGTAGATCATTATTGAAATCCAAATGTTTTCTCTTTAATATTTTTCATGTCTGAAGTTGTGTGTTGCTCTTAGCCTTCCGATCATTCATAGATTTCAAACTAACAAAACTATTAACCATAATATTATAATGCTGCTTGTTCCTCCGTTAGTAAGTTTGAAATTAAGTCAGTCAGTGCGTTACGCACTAGACATTACTTCAGATAAATAATGGACCATTCCGTTTTGATTGCGAGGAAAGTTGGAAGTAAAAGACAGAGACGCAGCTTCTTAATGAGAAAAAGAAAGCACGCATAAAAATAAAAAAAAAAACAAAGGAATAAAGAGGAGATAGAGGAGGCGATAATGCTCTTATGAGTTTAATGTCTGATTTCATGGAATGGAAGACCATGTCAATTTCGAATCTTTTTGTTATTGTAATATTTGGTTAAAGTTTTTAAACTCAAATATTTAACGGTCTAATTCCACGGGTATTTTATAGCCGTGGAAAATTGCAACGAGTTTATTCAATCATTAAGTTAAGAATTATGATTTATTCAGAAAATTCAAATAGTAAAACCGTGTCTCATTTTCACGTGTATGTGACTGTAGATTATTGTAATCCATCGTTTTTCTGTTTTATTTTTTTTTTCTGAATATTTGTCATTTTCATGGCAAACTTAACAGTTAATCCATGCTCGCCCTTCCCCCATTATTCATGAATTTTAAATTCATACATTTATTTCTTTTACATCTCACTCTCTCTCTCTCTCTCTCGTTTTATATATATATATATATATATATATATATATATATATATATAATTTTAAAAAACATGCTATCTTGGTTTCAATTTTCAGACGATATGGGCTAAATTTTTATTTTATTTTCTTTATACGTGTATTGAGCACTTTTAGTACTACTATTTCCTGGCCCAATTCTATAACATTTTTTATACTTATATATATATATATGTGTGTGTGTGTGTGTGTGTGTGTGTGTGTGTATCAGATAGATAGATAGATAGATAGATAAATAAATAAATAGATAGATAGATAGATAGATAGATAGATAGATAGATAGATAGATAGATAGATAGAACTTTTTTTATATTGAATTGGCGTCAGTTGAAGATTCTACCCTCTACCCATTGGTGCAAGGTAGGGATGAAGGTGAATTTAAGCGTATTTATTTTTAGATAAACACACAGTGACTGAGAGATGTCGATTCGCTTTATCTTCAGTCTGATGAGACTTACTGGTCGAAATAAATCATAATTTATTACCGTATTTTCGTGATGTGTTAAGCTTTTCCTTGATATATATATATATATATATATATATGTATATATTTATATATATATATATATACACGCACACACACACACACACATATATATATATATATATTCAAACAGGTTTGGTTAAATAATTTAGACATATCATGTCGATTTACCTTCGTTGTGTTGCTTTCAAGTTCACTGATTAATTTCTTGGTAGCTTTAGAAAAATATCAAAATTTTCTTTCAAATAGTTTTTATTTTCCGAAGTACTTTCAATCTCATCTGAGACCATCTTCTCGCGTTTAAAGTGTCTGGGAATATGTAAATGTATTTCTATAAACTCAAAACATTTTCAACTGTTCGTCTTATGCATTATGCAGCGTTCTAGATTACAAATTCAAAATTCACGTGTGTTTTTTTTTATTTTTTCATGTCCACACTCACAGTTTAGATGGACAGTTGGAATTTCATCTATATTACATGAAATTAATAATAAGCAAAAACTAAAAATCATAGAAGCCCTTTATATAAGAGAATTAAAGCTCAAAATAAACTCAACTATGAGCATAACAAAGTTCTTAAATAATGTTTGTAGCAGTAAGAATATATATATATATATATATATATATATATATATATATATATATATATATATATATATATAAAAATATTTATTCTTATACTAAAGATTATTATAATAAATAAAATGAAAAATATACCTCCCTTAAACTGGTGGGGGGACACATGATTTTCAATTTAAAATATATATGGTGGACTCTCCCGTCGTATTCGACGTATGAGGGTCAAGCAGCTCAGTTCCTAGGAACCGACAGCCAGACAACAGCATATATGATTTGATTATAGGGGTGAAGGATTTTTGCAGAACCAACCACACTTTTTGAAGGGCTGAATACAGAGACCTGGTGCACTATGTACTACAAGGTCCCCAAACAACACTTCGCAGGTTTTGAATTTAGAGTTCTCCTTCTCCTTGAGCAGTTGCCATCCAAGGCTATAGAACCCAGTCTGTCCTGCTATTTACCCATAGCTAGAGGGAGAGGAAGAGGATTAATACCTTTCCCAAGGGAATTAGCACGTGAATTTCATGGATTCGACTGGAATTCGAACTCGGCTCTCCGATTCCTCAATCCGTGCCGCTGTTTACTACTCCGCCGTGCCTCCTCCCTCCCTCCCTCCCTCTCTCTCTCTCTCTCTCCCATCTATCTATCTCTCTCTCTCTCTATATATATATATATATATATATATATATATAAACATTCTGACTTTTTTCTTTGCCTGTCTGTGTAAATATTTCCTGAAAAGGAATACAGTGATATCTATTCCCAATCTGTAATAGTAATAATTTTTTTTTTTTATGGAGGGTGTGTCACATGATTTACCACCTAACCCTGACAGATACTAATGATGTAATACTTCCGAGGATCAAACACAATATAGTCGAACTCATCCACACTGCATTTCCGACAGCTCTTCCTTTACCGTGAACGTCTCCAAGGCAACTGGCGCAAAACAAACAGGAAGATCAACTTGCCAATGAAAACCGAAAACAAGTGAAGAAGTAGAGAAAACGAAAGTGAAAAATTCAATATAAAAGAAAATTAAATCTAAAAACAGTTGCAAATATTTCAAGATATGGAACAGATGAAAGTAAACTACATTTAATTCGACATCTATTCAAATGTATGTCGCTCAATTGGGCATTGATAAGGAATTTAATTTGTTTTGTTTAATTCTTTAATTGGACTATTCAAAAAACATACATATTTATTATTAGTGAGCCTCCCAGTATGAATCGAACTCTTGTAATAATGAATTGGTTTTCAGTATTAGAATTCGAACCATTACGCTACGGTAGAGACGCAAAAAGTTTAACTTTTTGTTGCTCAAGTTGTGGATCACTCAGTACCAAACTTAATCAGCTGGGGTCAAAACAGTTTTTTAGAGGTGGGTCAGATTGTCACTATTTTTGAACTTGTGGGCTAAGATAAACTCAAAATAAAACACTATTTTCCCGAATCATTTAACCTATATATTCGTGTATAGTGCGGGTTTTTAGGATTAGTTTTTTACGCAAAAATTAGAGAGTCGCACTATACACAGGTAATTTTTTTTTGTAGTGGTTAAAATCATGCATTTCGGTTACCAGTTGCACTATACACAGGTAAATCATTTCGGCTTTTTCATGCATTCTCGGTGACCGTGAGCTACCTGATAGGCCTACATTCTCACGGCATCTTAACGGCTAACCTTAACAATGTACAGGTAAGCTTCTTTAGCCTGTCTCCCGCAACCTAGATTTTGTTGCTATATGAATAGCAGAAAGCCATTCATTGTGTGTGTCGTTTAAAATATATAAATACCTTATATAAATGAAGAATTAGCAATGTTTTTTGTTTTTTTTTTCCTTTCTTCAATTTTCATTCATCTTCATTCGCACGTGTTTACATCACTGATATATTGCTTTTCCAACGGAACCCCCTTTTGTCTGATACATTTTCATACAGTCTGATGTTTTTTCCTTCTTCTGTTTTCCACTGTTTATTTATTTGTATTTATTGTATTCTTTACATTCCCTCCAATTATTTTATCTTATAATTCTCCGTTACATATTCTTTTAACAAGGCAAGATGCAGCACAATATATGGTAAATGATGATTGCACAGGGGGAAATACGAACTAAATTTAAATTCCAGTAGCTTTATTTACGGTATACAGTAATATTATCAATAGGAATCAACCAAAATGAGTAGCATTATAAAAACATATCCGACTATTCATCTATAAATTATACACAATGTATTAAGTTATACATGCTACAGGAAGAAATTATTATGATACGCCGAAGAAAATATATCCCGGATGATGGCCCACTACAACAATATTTGACTACGTTAGACCTACTAGTATTGTTCAGAAGGTGGGGTTGCATTATACACGAGCTATAGGAAAAAAAGCCAATTTTTTCACAAAAAATTCAGGGGTCGCATTAGACTTATACACGAGTATACACAGTAAACAATATTCAATTAGAATTTCCTTTGGGAATAAAAATATTAAATAGAAAATTTTATAATAAGTAAAATAACAATAACCTATCTCTTTTTGTGTTAAGTATAAGGGTCCTTTTTCTTTCCATTTTCTCTAAAACTTTATTGTTACTCACATGTTCGGTCCATGCTGTAGAACCACATTTTTGTTGCTTCAAACCTCTTCTTCATCTTAAAGGATTCAGCATTAAAGTTCAGCATTCAATGTCATATAGGAGGGCAGATATTACATAACAGTTCAGTACTCTTTTCTATGTTTCTAATAAAATTCTAGGATACACATAATGAGAATGGAAGGCCTGGAGAATTTAACACGTAGTCGCACTGAAACGTTCTTAGCCAGACCAAGGCTCTCCAAATTGTGATGTTTAAACATCACAATTTGGCAAGTTAGCTAATCATTGGTGTTATGGTAAGCGCCCTTTAATAGATGATTTCTAGACATTTCCTAAATTTGCCAAAGTCTGGCACAATGCCAAAATAACAGGAATCGAACGGAAAGAATTGTTTTAAGAGACAAAGATACAATAATATGTTCGTGATTGAGGTTCTGCAAGACTCGTCATTATTAGAAAAGGTGTTAAAAAAACAACGAAAAAGTTACTTTGTATACAGGGAAATTTACTTAAATTTCTCAGAATTTAAAAATAGCTTATAAATTTGTATATTTGTTCATCCGAAGAACGCGCTAATTTCAAAGTTGATTTGTTGTCCTAACAGTAGGAGTTATTGCTAAAACTGAAGGTCGTTGGATTAATAGTTCTTGTTGGTTTCTCTGTGGTAATGATAATGATGAAATTTAACCGTTTCTATGCAGGAAAAGTTTGGCATTCATTGACCGAACAGTTAGCGTTACTATCGGTTAAATTTTATGTATACATTTTAGGATATTAGATTTCTTAATCCCACTAATTGTTATAGCTCTTTCTAGTATTGATGGGAAATTTTCCCCTAAAAATTGTTTTGGATAATATGAAAAGTTAACAGCGCGATTATTTCATTATTGTCTCTGTGCAAACCATTTGTGTTGGTGTCGCTGTTGGAAGTGTTCAAGTGATACGGTCTTTGTTATTTGGTAAAGCTCTTTGTATGTGATTCACTAGCGCCAGTCTTTAGGTTCTGATGAAGAATTGTCTTCATTTGCTGGAAGCCATTTTTAATCATTCATCTGTGAAAACGGTTGACAGCACCCATCTCGTCTCGTTACCAATATTGGTACACATTTTTAAGTTTTGCAACTAATATAACCTGCAAATAGTTGTTGGCGTCTCACAGACGTTTGTAATGTTTCTATTTGACTATTCAAACCCGATCGGCAGCGCTAATCTTCTCATATTGTACTTTCTATTGTAGACTAATTCAATAGGAACTTGAAAAAAACATTCGTGCAATTGCTTAAGCCCTTGTAACGTTAAGGCAGTTTACCATATTCGATTGGTTGTTTAATATGTATATGATTTTTGTAGCAGTCTACATAGATAGATAGATAGATAGATGAATAGATGATAATAGATAGATAGATTAACAGAATTAGATAAATTGACAGAATTAGATAGATAGATAGATAGATAGATAGATAGATAGATAACAGAATTAGATAAATTGATGAATAGATAGATAGATAGATAGATAATGATATAGATAGATTATACATAGAATTAGATAAATTAACAGAATTAGATAAATTGACAGAATTAGATAGATAGATAGATAGATAGATAGATAGATAGATAGATAGATAGATAGATAGATTAACAGAATTAGATAAATTGACAGAATTAGATAGATAGATAGATAGATAGATAGATAGATAGATAGATAGATAGATAGATAGATAGATTTTGTGATGTAGTCAGACGGGCAAATAATTAAGCTCAATAACGTTTCATCGCTTTCATCTTCATCTCCCCATCCAAATAGATAGCCTATGTTGCCCGGACATTTTATTTATGGGCAAGTTTATGTATGTGCCTATATATATATATGTGTGTGTGTGTGCGCGCGCGTGCTTCTATGTGCGAGCGTGCGTATGTAGGTGTGTGTGCGTGTGAGAGAAAGAGAGGGAGAGAAGTGAGTCCGCATCAACGATAGATCGTTTTGGTTTTTACTTTCAAAATTCCAGTTGAAAATCGAAAGCGACAAAAAAGAGAGAGAGAGAGAGAGAGAGAGAGAGAATCAAGGGAGCGAAAAGAGTGAGACATTGACAAGAAAGAGAATGAAAATTGACTTTCCCTTCCTTGTTGAAAGGAAATAAACAGGAGAGAAACGGACGCAAGTGAAAAAGAGAAAATCCGAAATAAAAAATATTTACTGAAGAAAACGAAAAAAACAAAGAAAGAAAGAACACGGAATAGCAAAGAACAGCTGGTTTAACAGAAAAAAAGAAAGAAAGAAAGAACAGTAAGAAGGAAAGAAAGAAGGAAAGAAAGAAAAAAGAAAGAAAGAAAGAAAGCAAATTCATTATCTGCTAAAGAAGAAATGTTATTTGTTAAGAGGTAGGAAATTATTTTTTTAAAGTTAAATACTATATTTTGGAAATAAAAAATATGAAGAAAGCGTGGAAAGCACACACACACACACACACACACACACACACACACACACACAAACGAAGGAAAAGATTGGAGCTAATCTATCTTCGAGACAATTTCGTCTCTTCTTTGAAAAAGTTCACATCAAAGCTAAATGATAGACCCAGAACTCCGACACTTGATCCAATATAGTCGCTGTTCCCCAGAGATACACGGAAATGGAACTGAAAGTCATGATTAATTCATTCTCATTTAGAGAAATATCGTCTGCTCCTTTTGTACTGTTATTTTTTTCGATTCTTCTTTCGTTGATGTTTATTAGTGAAAAATCTCTCTCACGCTCCCCTCCCCCTCTCTATCTCTATCTCTCTATCTAACGCTCACCTCTCTCTTATCCTCTCTTCCTTCCTGCTTGTACCCCTCTCTCTCTCTCTCTCTCTCTCTTCCTCGTTATCTCTATCTCTCTATCTAACGCTTACCTCTCTCTTTTCCTCTCTCTCTCTCTCCCTTCCTCCCTGTTCCTCTCACTCTCTTTCTCTCTCTCTCTCTCTCTTTCGCTCTCTCACTCATCACGGTCAACATTTATCAAGAATTCGTCGCCTTTGCATTGCTTTCAATAGAGAAAATTTAGTAAGCCATACCTCAAATATCAAGGAACACACACACGCTCTCTCTCTCTCTCTCTCTCTCTCTCTCTCTCTCTCTCTCTCTCTCTGTCATCTCTCCCCGTCATCCCTCTTTCTCTCCCTGTCATCTTTCTCTCTCTCTTTCAAAATTTAATAACGGGGTAGTTTTTAACCTCAGTGCCCATGCTCTTCTACATCAAGTGTCGTGGCTTCATATCGACAAAACACTTAAAATCGAACAGAGCGTAGGGAGAAGATGATTCATGCCTTTCCGAGCGGAATTGAACCAAAATGAGCACAGACGCACACACACACACACACACACACGCATATACATACACACACCTATATAAATACAAACTGCAAAAACTGTAACTGAAATTTTTTAAATTCATTCTTGTTTTTCTTATGTTTTGTTAAAAAGAAAATAGTTAAAAGTTTTGTTTAAAGACATTGATTATTGATTAGAATTTAACTTTTTTAAAGTCAGTCTTTAAATTTGTCGGCAATACACCAGCAATTTCCTATCTTTGATGCCTGCCGACATATTTGTTTTTTTTTTTTTTATATTTTAAAACTCTTCATAATCTAAAAAATAAAGCAACTGTCAGATGAAAATGCTTTCATTTAAAAAAATAAAACAACTTCATTCCATGTTTGCTCAACTGAATCGCCAAAAAAACGTAGGATAATTTTTACTTTAAAAAATAATTGAAAAAAATAGATTTTTATTTGTAAGGGTATTTTTATTTTGAACACGTTTCAAAGGTCAAAGTAGGGAATGGTTAATGGCAGTTGGTATGCTGAACAAGTAAAAGTTGCTGACAGCTGACGTAACTGTTATTCTAATACATAGAATAGTGATCAGAATGGTTATAATTTCTCTTATAAAGTTGTTTTTTGTCACTCAGTTATTGTTTAATTTTCTTTAACACGGATCAAACCAATTATATGCTTTTATTTATTTTATTAAATACAAATTTTCATACCGCCAAAAAGAAGAAAAAATTGCTTTCACAAATTTCATTCTAAAATTTCGGTTATCCATAAAAATCTTATACTAAGAGAAAGAAAACCCGGAATTTTAAATACATTCTTATAACACATAATTTATTTCTAAAAATGGCAAAAACGGTTATTGGAAAATATTTTACAATGTTTTGGCAAATATTTTACAGAAACGTTTATTGGAAGTTTTAAGAGTATGACTTATAGAAGTTCAATTCTGTGTTGTTTCTGTGGCAAATGATGTTTCAATCAAGAAACCAGATCATGAATTATTCATTCAGTTAGTTCAAAGTGAGTAATTAACTATATTGATGCTTCTAGGCTTCCGTACATGATAATGGCTTCTCACGAACAATTAAAAAAATAGCACATAAAATATTTTTTATCGTTTCAGTATATTTAAATATTCAGCATAGTTAATAACAAAATATCTGTCGAGCCAAGTTAGAAATGAAACGAGAATTTTCAAAGCTATCGAGTTAATCGAAATATCCAATAAAAAGTTAAATCAAAATTTTAAATGTGAATCTTTTCTCTTTTTACAAATACAATTTATAATTTAGGAAATAAAACTATAATTTCCCCAAAAAAGAAATGTTTGGCATTCGTGAAAATTCTAAAACTTATATAGTTAATAATAATAAACAGAATTTATTTCTCCTGAATTTAAAAAAAATCAATGGAGGTACGATTTTTAATACAGTGAAATCATCAAATGAATTATTTGGTAGTAGGTGAGGGATTAAAAAAAATCACTTCCATTTTTGCATTTTATAAATATTTTTGTATCTCAAAAAAAGTGATACCTAAGTTTTAAAATTAATTTAAAAAATGAAAAATCTTTCTTGAAGCTTTTATTTTAGTTTTAATTTCAAGCGAATAGATTAAGTTTATCGCAGAAATGCATTTTTTTTAAACTAAGGGTGTTAACAGATTTATCGATAGCTTAATGTTAGGCAAATTTTAGCAAAGGGTACATAACTGTAAAAACTACTCGATGAATACAACGTAAACGCCTTTTTATATGATTTTTAACTACTCAGTAACCTTAAAAATTTAGGAAAATATTCTAAATAATCTAATATTTTATTGAATTTTAGGTACTTTGGCTTTAGTCTTACTTACGAAGACGCTTGTCGAGGAAATGTTAGAAAATTACAAATAAATTTTTGATTTAATATAGTTACCGCTCTTATTTATAATGTTGTGCATTACAAAAATCGGCACGTTTATACAGACAAAAACAATCAAAATTCTTTTTGAAATCCATTCATGATTAGTAAATATTAATTAGTTTTTACTTAATAACAATGTTACCTAAAACGTAAAAATTAATGCAGAATTTTAAAAGATTTAAAACTTTATAAATTATTATAATTAAAATTTAAAAAGAAATGAAAACAATTCTTTTAAAACTTCATTATTAATCGAAAAAAAGTTTTCTTTAGACAATAGTGTCAATAATATAACTTATTCATAAAAGCAATTAAAGTTTTTCTAACTAAATAATATCTTAGTTTTCTTGTATTTTTATTTTACGATTCAGAGCAAATTTGCTGTAACTTGGGTCCTGTGTGTCCAAAAAACTGATGATTTAATTTTCCAAGGACTGGTCATTATAAATAATATAATTATTATAACTATAAAATGAATTTCTAGAAATTTCATAAAATTAAATGTGAGAGCTAAAAAATGCAAAAGAAACTATTTTTACGGAGATTTGCTAAAAAAGAAATATTTAAAAAATATTTTTTTTCATTTGTGAATAAATTATGGATGTTTAATTAAAAACTGACTATTATTTGATTTTTTGAAAAAAATTCCAAATCAATGTGTTTTTAGCGCAAAAAAGACGCTAAAATTTCCCATACTATTTATGGTTAACCGTTGATGCCAGAAAAACAAAATTTTAAACCACAATTTAGATGGTTCTGAAAAGGATTCGTATAATAACAGTTCACAAAGCCCAAATCTCCATGTATACACTTGCAAATTCCTTGCAAAAATCTGTTTTGGTACGAAAAGTCAGTTGCTTTTATAGCAGTTTGGTGGACCCTTTCCAGGTTTTGTGGAGCATAGAAATGGATTATCATATTTTTCATTACAATCAATTCCTTTCAGTGAAACTTTAACCACGATTGGTTAGCAGAAGCTAATTTACACGAACAGACTGACTTCATTCAGTGGTGAAGCATTTTTCTTTCTTCTTTTTTTCTTTCTCTTTTTTCTTCTTTTTTCTCTCTTTTTTTCTTTCTTCTTTTTTTCTTTCTCTTTTTTCTTTCTTTTTTCTTTCTTCTTTTTTTCTTTCTCTTTTTTCTTTCTTCTTTTTTCTTTTTTTTCTTTCTTCTTTTTTCTTTCTCTTTTTCTTTCTTCTTTTTCTTTCTCTTTTTCTTTCTTCTTTTTTCTTTCTCTTTTTCTTTCTCTTTTTTTTCTTTCTCTTTTTCTTTCTTCTTTTTCTTTCTCTTTTTCTTTCTTCTTTTTTCTTTCTCTTTTTTCTTTCTTCTTTTCTTTCTCTTTTTTCTTTCTTCTTTTTTCTTTCTCTTTTTTCTTTCTCTTTTTCTTTCTCTTTTTTCTTTCTTCTTTTTTCTTTTCTCTTTTTTCTTCTTCTTTTTTCTTTCTCTTTTTTTCTTTCTCTTTTTCTTTCTCTTTTTTTTTCTTCTTTTTTTCTCTTTTTTCTTTCTTCTTTTTTCTTTCTCTTTTTTCTTTCTTCTTTTTTCTTTCTCTTTTTTCTTTCTTCTTTTTTTCTTTCTCTTTTTTTCTTTCTTCTTTTTTTCTTTCTCTTTTTTCTTTCTTCTTTTTTCTTTCTCTTTTTTCTTTCTTCTTTTTTTCTTTCTCTTTTTTCTTTCTTCTTTTTTCTTTCTCTTTTTTCTTCTTTTTTTCTTTCTCTTTTTTCTTTCTTTTTTTCTTTCTTCTTTTTTCTTTCTCTTTTTTCTTTCTTCTTTTTTTCTTTCTCTTTTTTTCTTTCTTCTTTTTTTCTTTCTCTTTTTTCTTTCTTCTTTTTTCTTTCTCTTTTTTCTTTCTTCTTTTTCTTTCTCTTTTTTCTTTTTTCTTTTTTTCTTTCTCTTTTTTCTTTCTTCTTTTTTTCTTTCTTCTTCTGCAAAAGCAGAAAGCAACACGAAAGCGTTTTAGTCTTCTGAGCATGTCACCATTTTCTTCTTTACAGAATTAAAAATATAATTTAATAACCAAATAATACTTTTCCCTCTTAGTAATAACATAAAGATTTTGACGATAAAATTTGGTTTTTAATAAGTTTGGGCTATTTTTTTTCATCATGTATGCTCATTTTTAAGCAACTGTTTGGATATACCTATTTTTCTATTTATCAAATAGACACTGAAAATGCTATTGAAATATAATAATTATTTGATTTTCGGTAGAATTTTAAAGACATTGTTTTCCGCGTTAAAAAAATAATTCCTGGATACTAAAAGAAGCAAATACTTACTTCAGTAATTAATCGTAAATTGTTATTTTAAGTTTGACTTTTTATTATTTTTAAAAACAAATATTTGTCTTATAAAGTCTTACCTGTAAAATTGGTGCCCCTCGCCACCAAGAAAAATTACGATGAAACTATTTCATTCACAAAAAAGTACATTACAATGTAATTGTGTAATTTTTCTAAAATTTACTCTTAGAATAAATGTTTTTCTTTTTACTTTTAAATGTAACGCAAATTGCATTTCATTTACGCATTATTATTTTTTTACTAGCACCTTAATGCCTTCAAATTCATTCATTATTCTAAGTTTAATAAAATCGTATAGAATAATATATATATATATATATATATATATATATATATATATATATATATATATATATATATATATATACTGCCCGGGATGTAACAGTAAGAAATAGATCAAGTATCGACTGAAAAATATAATATAATTGACAAAGATTATTGTTTAAGGTTGACGGACAGGCATGTCTTAACTAGTTTTTTTGTTTTTTTTTACAAATTGGTCAAACTCAAACAAAAACATTGTTTTCAATCGTTATGAGTCTACCGATTGAATAGAATTTTATTATAAACAATTGTCTTGTAAATGGAATTTTTAAAGCATTCTGAATGTAAAAATAAAGGAAAAAGTGTGCAAGACAATAAGAAACACTACTTGCCAAAAAAAGTGAAGTTTTGTTGAAATCGGTTGAAAAATGTAGGAAATCCGATCCCATATATAAACGAACACACACACACACAAACGCAAACAACCTGGGTTTTATAATGAGTATAACTCGACATGAGTTGTCCCCTTTCATTCTCGCGATGCCTCTTAATCATGTTTTCAAATTGATTTCGTGCAAAAACAATTGTGTTTTTCCCATTTTTTGGCGCTGTCAGAACCACCGCAAAGTCTGTCGTTCACTTTCTGAGCGACGGTTCGGTTTAACTCTCTGCTTTCGGGCGGGAGGAACCCGAAGGAGGCTACGCCGAAGGGCGGAGTCTCCTTCGAGGAGGTAAAACCGGCCCTGAACCCGTTTATACGGGTTCAAATGGGCTATTTTTTGGCCGAGCCTAATGGCTCGGAAATGCCCACGTTAAAAAGGCCTTGTGCCACATGACGCCCTCGTGGGGGGGGGACGACTAAATATAGTCAGAACCACCGCAAGGTAATTTTACGTAGTCCTGTGAAATTTTGTTGAAATCGGTTGAAAAATGTAGGAAATCCGATCCAATATATAAACGTACAGACACACACACACACACACACACACAAAACCTGGGTTTTATAATAAGTAAGATTCTAAAACGATTGGTAATAAGGTTAAAGGAAATGTCGTTTTAAACATAAATATGATTATTGCACTGCTGGTCTTCCATTTTCCTTTAGGTTTTATTTTTACTTTTCCGCACGCTTTTTTTTTTTCGGATACGAGTGGAATTAGTGTTTTTATTTTGTCAGTACATCTATTCGATTATAGGGTAACAGACAAATTCCACGCTTCTGCCAGGATCAGTCCCAAATTTTCTGAATTCACATTTTTAAGTACATTGACAAAATTAAATATGAATATAAAATTGTTGTAGACAATAAATCAATCTTAATAAACGGTAAATAGGATTAAAAAAAAGAACGAATTGATTTTTTACGGAAATCGATTTTATTGGAAATCTATGAAAATAATGAGCAAAAAGATTTTACTTTGTCCAAATTCTATACGCCCCAAAAATGATAATATCGAAATGACAGTGATATCATCAGTCCTTCATCATTCTTCTGATTATTTTAACAGAATTTTGCCCGGTAAAACTCAAATCTCTAAATATCACGCTATCTCGTCAAATCTTGTGGAAGCAATATTAAGATTTTTCATCCCCAAACTCCCGCCTCCCCATTTCCCCACACATACTGTAAAATAGAACTTTCATTTTTTTTAATTTTATTTTGCCAACTGGTGCGATAACTACGCGTTCTTTGCGGAAGTGTGTTCACTATTCTTTGATCTTGCCGCCTTTACTTATATGATAAGATGCGCCGTTCTTGAATTTATTTTTGCTCTTTTTTTGTGGGAGTGGTTTCCGACCGGCAGACGGCTGAAGCTAAGGGAAGAAAAAAAATAATGGTATTGATTATTAAGTTTTTCTTTTTGTTTCATTTTAATATATTAAAAAAATATATTTAGTTGGATTGATGTGAGTTTGCGACCCTGAGTTTCCCGCCATTTGCGATCGTCAGACAAATATGTTAGCTCTATCACTGATATTGAGCGCTTTCCAATAAGTACCGCGCATATATATATATATATATATATATATATATATATATATATATATATTTCATTATTATATTTACGGCACCTGTGTTAGTCGACATATTGTTGCCAAGCCTTCTTTCATATTCTCTCCCTTCCTTCCTTTAAGTCATCCCTACCAATTTCTTTTACTCATTCGTTACATTCTTTCTTTCTTTCTTTCTTTTTTCCTTTCTTACTCTACATTTTTTTCTTTTTTTCATTTTTCAGTTAGGTGAACATTTGCGTTATTGTGAGGTCAACATTAAGGTGGATCAATAAATCTGTAGCCTGACTTACAGTTATGTTTTTGCGACAACCAGAAAAGGTAATCATCGGTCGGTGCAAGGTCAGTTGAATATGGCGGATAGGGTAGAACAGGCTAACCGAGTTCCAAAATGTTTTCCTGTGTTATCCTTGCTGTCGGCGCCCTTGTTCTGTCATGAAGAAGAACAACATTATTCTTTTAACCCACTGTGTATGCTGCTATTGTTAAGATATTTATTTTTAGCTGCCATGTATTACTAATTAGGATGATGCATTCGTCATCACAACATTTGAAAAAAAAATTAAGTTTCTTATGTTTACAAAGTCATCAACAGATTATATTCGTGTGGAGTTATCTTATGATAACGTTCATTAACAACATATATCACTATATTTGGTTCGGGTGTATATTGGTCTTGTTTGATGATTAAAAGAAAATGCACAATGTGTTGATAAATACAAAATAAATCTTTATATAACACAATAAAATAATACAGAAGGATAAAGTGAACGTTGAAGTTTCAAGATTCAAGTATAAAAATTCTGGCATATACGAGAGAGAGGGTGAGGGTAGATGTAAATATATATGTATCTGGCATCTCGTTTATAGTCACTCACTCACAGATGTGTCATCGGTTCCCTCTGTCTTTTCTACAAATAATTCCACCGTAACTGTCTACCACTTTGTCCCCAGCCCCTCAACCTCCGGCGTCTTCCTCTTTGGGTTGAGGTGTCCACTCGGTCCAAACCGAACTTAGGGGTAACTGGCCGTACGCTCCCTGAGTACCCGTAGATTATTTCGACCGGTCAACTGGTCAAGTCCTGCTCGCTGCCCACGCTGTGTTAGTTTTTAGATCCAGTAAACGGGGTGTTGTCCATACGTTCACGGTCGACTGGGGCTGTGAGAGTTGGCACTAAGAAGTTTAGAATGTGGCAAAATAAAACAAGAAATAATATCTGCAGAAGCCAGACAACAATTGGGGGAAATATTGACGTCTTTTATATAAGAAGATAACATCAGAACAGAGGTTACGGGGATAATAAAAACATTTAACATAAATGAGAAAAGAAAAAGAAAATGAACAAAATGCATCCAGCGAATTCCCAACAGAGACAGGGTTTGTGTGTAATAAACGCGTATTGAATCGCCTGGGGTAGGTTTATGACTAATAGTCCAGTCTCATACAGACTTCTCAGAACAGGGGTTAGTCTTCTCTCTTCCGTCTGGCTTGTAGCACCGCGACCCGTAACGGTCGCCTGCGGGTGCTCACGCACGTGACGACGATGTGCCGACCGATCGCGGTCTCTCCCGTCTGGCCTCTTCCGTCTCGCTCGACCGTCTGCTTCTTCTTCAGCATAACTATGCGTTTATATAGATAAATCTGGTTGATCATGAATCGACCCTTGGCCCGGCACGCGATTATCATGAGTGCCAAAAACTATCCCTTGACATGTAAAACTATTCTCCAATTATTTACCTTATCTCAATCACGAGTTCTTCTCGCTTCACCTAAATTATACTTTGGGATATCTAAACATTGATTCAACCTTTTCATCAAAACAAATACTGTTAAACAAAACCAAGTATCTCGCCCATCCCCATTGTTTACTAGTGACCCAGATTTAAAACGTCGCCTCTTGCCATGAGATCGTGTTTCTCATCGGTAAACACACATCTTAACCCAAATTGTACTTTGATATATAAACACCGTTTCCACTTCCAGTCAATAAAAGTTATATTTGTGTGTGTGCATTCCTGTGGGTGTATATGTGTATACCTCTCTCTGTTACAACTGTTCCGACGAGCTACTTTCGCTAGTTCCCAAATTGCATGAATTTAAACATGCTACTGGTTTGGCATCTCAGCCCCACTCTTTCACTGTCGAAACGGTTAAATGTAGCTTCATCATGTCTCGCACTTCCCGTCTGTGAAACTCCCTTGTTCTTACTTGCTTCCCTGATAGCTATAATCTTCAGTTATTCAAATGCAATGTCATTCGACATCTTCAAATGCCTTAATCTAATTCCCCATCCTTCTATTCATCCTTTCCTCCTCTACCAAGCCTCTTTACCCTTGCTACCACTCTCTGTAACCTCTTGCGTGCTAGTGGCACTCCCGCCTTGCGTAGGGTGAATGTATGTATCTAAATGTAGTAGCCGACTATAATGTGGGTGAAAGAATGTCTGTATGCTTTCAAATGGAGCAGCGGACTGCTTAAAAAGTGGTGAAATAAAGGGTATATGTTTTCAAATGTAGAGGAAACATTGAATCGTCTAAAATCGCCAACGAGCCAGGTAAAATTTCTTATTTCAGCTCTGGATATGTTACGATGACCGCAGCATTCTGGATTGGGTTGATATTCCATCTTATTATAGACACATTTAGAAATCCGCTTCGAAAGAGCCGCTTTGACTCTTCCTATTAGTGGCCTTATATTCTGGTTTGTAGTTCTTGTATGTTTGTATCCTGGTTCGAGACGACTTCTAATAGGGTGTCCGAAATATGACTTTATGGCCTAGCGATTCTGAATATACAGCTATTTGTAATTTTGGTCAAATTATTATTATTAATTATTTTTATTTATTTATTTTTCTATTAGTACATGATCATCAAGATGTTAGTGGAAGATTTGTCATTGAAAACCTCGAAACTGAAGCAATGTGTGGGTAGACGATAAAAATCATTTGATAGTGTTCCACATGACTGAATCATGAAGACATTAAAATTAATGGACATTTCTCCGCTTCTCGTTAATCTTTAAAAATCCCGTGTAAAATAAATGGACAGACACTTTAATCCTAAAGCACTTTAATGGTGAAATAATATGTGACAATTTACAGGTGAATAGAGGAATATTTCAAGGAGATTCTATTTCGCCTCTATTCTTCTGTCTTGTATTAAAAGCTGCCATCAAATGAAATAACACACACAAGTTGTGCTTATCAGCTTAACTGATCATTAATCACTTATTTTACATGGACGACGTAAAATTGTTTTCGAAAAAGGATAATCAATTAGAGAGTTTATTAAAAACAATCAGAATATTCAGTGATGATAATCGACACGGAATTTGGTGAAGAAAAATATGTCCAGGCAACCTTCAAAGGAGGTAAATTGGCGTGAACAGCTCAAAGAAAGATTGACAAAGCAACTGTGATTCGACAACTCGATCAAGAATTATATGAACAAAACATGCTATAAATAAAAGACAAGGAACCCAATATGCAAAAAGGAAAGAAAAATTAGAATAGAAATTTTTAGGCGAGTAAGGGCGATAAATAAAACTGAATTAAATTCAAAAATAAATTTAGATTAACATTATCTGTTGTTACGTCCCGTTTTAATGAAGAGATACAAAGAATAAATAGAAGGAACAGAAAAGTCTTTACCATATACAACATACAAAAGAAGACGATGAAGATGAAGAAGACGACGACGACGAAGAAGAAGAAGAAGAAGAAACAGACGAATATGAAGAAGAAGAAGAAGAAGAAGAATACTTAGAAGAAAATCTTTATCATATACAACAAGCAAAAGAAGACGAAGAAGAAGAATACTTAGAAGAAGAAGAAGAAGGATGGATATATTAATAATAATGCGAAAGAAAATGAAAGTGTAGATTATTCATACAGAAATAGAACAGAAATGATTACTGGCCGCAGTAGATGAAAACAAAATAAATAAAAAACGGCCAGAGAAGAGATGAGATTATTGAGAAAGAATTGCACAGAACACGTCCAATAAGGAAGACAAAAGACAAAACCTAAAAACAAACGTGTCAGAAGTAAGAAGGAAATATAATCTCCTCCTTGATTCACACCTGCCTGTTCAGCTACTGTAGCCCATAGAAATCACTTTTTCAGTCTGTACTAGCGTGATAATTCCGATCACAACTGACGCCTCTTTGTGTCTGCTCATAATAATTGTTAGCGTCTGCTTAAAGAGGCTAAGTCTTCGTTTACTAACAAAATGAAGCACTATATCGCCTCTAACATGTTCGATTTCTTGTGATGACTGGCGTCTCTGTAATTGTGTGTTAAATAAAAGTAAGTCTTTTGAGGTGTTAACATCTTCTGTTGATGAAGCACAATATTGTGCTCGTAAATTCTCTTCCATTTCTACTCTTGTCTCACCTGGAGTATCTTTGCTTGACTTTCCACCTATAACTGAGTCTCCATACTTATAACTCCGTCTACCGTTTCTGCTATCATCTCTAAAAGCATGTGGATTTCATGATATCCCTGCAATAGCCCTTAAGAAATGTACGCCAGAAATGGATCATGCTCTCTCTAAACACTACAATAAATGTTTTGATGCTTCTTACTTTCCTGCTTGTTGGAAAACCTCTTCTGTAATTCCAGTCTTTACGAACTCAGGTTAAACTGTCTGAACGTTCTATCAGCAAAGTGATAGAGGTTCTAATCAATTCTGAATTGATTAAGCATCTCACCTCGCCGGGTCTTTTTTTTTTTTTTTCAGATAAGCAATATGGCTTTCGCTTCTCTAGGTCAACTGCTGATAACGATTATTTCTGAAAGAGTCTATCAAGTTTTAGATAAGAATGGTGAAGCTCGAGTTGTTGCTATGGATATCTGGAAAGTATTTGACAGGGTTTGGCATATTAGTTTTTCTTCAGTTGAAATGTTCTGATATTTCTGGGCGAATTTTTGATCAGATTCAATTTTTCTTGTCAAATCTAGAATGGAAGTTATTGCGTCATTTGTGCTCTTTAATACCTTGATTGACTCTTTTTCCTCCAAGTTCGGTTCCTTCTTTAGTTACGAGACTTTGTTTGTGTAATACGAGCCGTGCGTATTTCTCTGTAACAAATTCCAATTTTATTCCAATATAATCGCTGTATTTTAAACTATTTGAGTGTCTCAAAAGTACTTTTTAATGAATTCTCCATATCAGAAGAATTTCGATCGTCTTTTGTCGATCCAAGTCCTCTGAAAGTTTTCAACTTACGGTGATCAGTCTCCTCTATATTTTAAAAGCATCATAAGTGACAACTGATGGTCATCTGATTACTGTTTTGGGCATTCCGTTATAGAGAAATACGCGCTGCTAGTATCGCACAAGCGAAGACTCGTAACTAAAGATGGAACCGAACTTCCAGGCAAAAGAGCCAATCAAGGCATTAAACACCAAAAATGACGCAATAAAGCGAGATGAAGTAAAGAAAATGATAAGGAGTAACTTAGCAGAATAAAGAAAATAAGATTACGTCCAGCGATAATAAATCCTGTTGGTCTTCTAATTCTCTTAAAATCATCCCTTTTTAAATAAATCTGCTGAAAAAAAAAACGCACCCTTGTTGTACTCCTTTTGCTGTTTTAGTTGTACTCATGATGAGAAACATTTTCTAAAATTGAATAAGGCATTAAAAAAATCGAAAAACGACATCAAAAAGAAGAAAAAGGGTTGGGCTGTTATACGATGCCTATTCTCCTATATTTTAGTGAGAACTGGATAATTTCGTCACAAATGATGGAAAGGCTTCAAACGGCCACACGATATGGTTCTACTGACGAATATTGGAAATTCAAAAAATAGAGTATGCGATGAATTAAGAAATTCTAAAAATAGGAACTACAAAAAAAAATTGTTGATAGCAATCAGAAAGAAACAACTGAAGTTTTGAGGATACATGAGGAAAGAAGACTTGGAGAATTTAACGCTCACAAGGTGCAACGAAAGCAAAAGAAGCAGAGGAAATCAGCATGTAACTACGTCGACAAGTTTGAGCATGAAGAAGGAGTCTTAAATGAACAAGTGTTCCTGAGAGTAAGCAAAATATGAAGCTGTTAAGAATCGTGATCTTCAATGTGCAGGAGAAAGAGAGAGAGAGAGAGAGAGAGAGAAAGAGGTAGGGGAAGAGAGATGATCGTAAAGGGTACTTTCAATAAGGTTTACAAACAGGTTTCTTACGCAAAGAATTTCCTCTTAGTTCACAATTTGGTTAATTTTAGATTACAACAACAAGGTGCAAAAATTCATATATTTGGTCATGGAATTGATATGACATGGTGGAAAGTAGTCAATACAAAAACATTGGGCATATGCCTAATGATTAGCGAATTAATCACTCAAGCCATTGCAAGTGAGTTTCATCGATTTATATGCCCTAATAAAAGAAAGGGGGTTAACAAGCAAGTGTCATTGTTGATACAGTGAGTTCGATCCCATTATTGTAGCCCCGTGTATCATTAGACTATATTGAATTTATTCAACATAGTCTAATGATGTTATCCTAATGGAAAGGTTAAACTTGCACTGAACTCTAAAAATTAAATTTTTTTTTATTGATGTTTGAAATTCTTCAGTGACCAATTTACAAGAAGTTCATAACTTCCGTATGTTGCACTTCTCCTCCTCCTCCTCCTCCTACACCTTCTTCTTCTTCTTCTTCTTCTTCTTCTTCTTCTTTCGTTGCTCTTTTCTTTTCTTTTATTCGTTGTCGTTTTTCTGTGACTTTCGTCTTCCCTTCTCATTCAATTTATCCCTCCGTTAAGAAGAAAATATTTCCTTAAAATATTTCTCGTAGACTTTCTCTACCTTTTTTTGTCTCTGTCTTTTTCTCTCTGAAACAATAATTATAATTAAACACTTTCAATTATTCAATTAATTACATTATCATATTCGTTATTAAGCAATTGTCCAGACCAAGAAAAAATGCGATAATTAAAGGGACAGAAATAAAAAAAAAGGACAAGCAGTTTAAGAAGAAAATAATTATTTGATAAGAAGTGTTAGAAATTTGGCGCAAAGAAAAAGATTTATAAAACTCAGTTATGGTGAGGGTGAGTGGATTGGAAGGAGAAGAAGAGGAGGAAAGTTAACATCTTTCTTTTAAAGAAAGAAAGAACAAAGTAAATAGTAAGAAAAACTTGTAAAAAATGAGTAAAGCAAAGAAAAAAGGAAAAATTTTAAAATAAAGAAAATAGTGATATAGAAAGGAAGGTTAGATGAAAGACAAAATACAAAAAACATGAAATAAAGAAAGCATTAAACTCGTTAATTAAAAACGAGGAAGCGAAAAAATTTTAAAGTTGAAAACAAAATGGCGGATGTTTTGTTTGTTCTAAAACAATGACTCATTAACAACTGAACAATGAATCGGCCCTTTTCACGTTCCTCATTCGCACCAGTCACGTGACAATATGGCCACTGTTGAAAAGGAGGCAATCATTTTCTCATTGTTTGATTAAATTTGACTCCTTAAAAAAAGAAAAGTTTTCATTACTTTTTAATAGAAGAAAAAAATTTCTTTTGTCTTCTAGTATTACTGATACCATTTCTCTGTTTATGCGTGTGCATTCACACACGCACGCACGCGAACACACACACACACATATATATATATATATATATATATATATATATTATTGGCGCCGATTTGTATGCCTCTGCGTGTTCGAGTGCTTCTGATTGCGTGTGTACAAGTCTGTGGGCCTATGTATGTTTATATCTACGCGTGTAAAATCTGCAGCTGATTGCGTGTACTTGTGTCTGTGTCCGTGTATGCATGCTTGAGTGTTTCTTCCTGCATCCAGTCGCGTGCGACTATATGTGTATGTCTGTGTATGTGTATGAGCCCCTGTGATGGGAGAACTCTATTGCCCATCCGTCTGTGCATGTGTGTGTACATATATACATGCGCAGGTGTGTGTGTGTGTGTGTGTGTGTGTGTGTGTGTCCATAGGCAACGCCATGCAGATTGTTTCTACTTGTCCGGAAATGCTTCAATATATAAAAACATTTTCGGTCTATCCTTGGATGTTCAAACGAATTAATGAAATATTTAGAGTCCATAGACTCCTTACATAGTTATGTACTGGCAAAACAGGTTTTTTATGTAACTTCTGATAGCCTTTAATCTAATATCCAAAGTCACAATTCTCATCAAGAAGGTAGAGAGAGTAAGTGTGAGAGAGATGAAGAGAGAGAGATAAAATAGTGTGGCAGAAAGGGAGTGCAAAATGTTGTTAGAGACAGAGAGAACATTCTGCTCCATCGAATTCTATACAGTGGTCATATAAAGTGAAGTGCCCAGAAATAGGGACAGATATTTAATAGCATATTGTTCCTCCATTCATCTGAATAACGGCAGCTACGAGACGTAGCGTGTATAATGTACATCGCATATATCGTATGTTTCATCTGTGATCATTGGAGTTTAAAACGTAGGAGCCAATGGGTACCTGGAAATCAGTCGAGGGTTCTTGAACTCAGCACGAATGTTATCTTGCTGGAATCCAAATATCCCCACGAGAATACATGACATATATAAAGGAGTTTAAATCATCTGAAGAAAAAATCCAAGAATCCTTATTAACTCCAACAGTGGTCACCATTGTTGAGCCATCACGAGCCTCATGTGGTCTCAACATATGGGTTTGACTTCACGAAAGATTTGAAACGTGACTCATCAGAGCAGTCACCTCGGTACCAGTCTTCAACGGTGCAGTGGAAATGTTTTCTGGCCCAGGTGAGGTATGTTAATCGATGCTGCCATTTCGAATACAATATATGTTGTCTAGTATTGAACTTGAATCTGATTTGATGCAATGTTCCTCTTCCTTATCGACTGCCAACGATCCTCTATTTGCATCACCTGTTGGCGCCTGTAGTTTTCAGTTGCCACTGATTTGAATTCACATATTCCCGATATACCTTTGCTACTGTTTCTTGCCACCTCAGAAATGGAATGCACCACCTTCCTGGTCCCAGCAATCATTTCATGATGTTAAATCCTGTTTGTGTCCCAAGCAACATTACCACAGCTACACTGTCGTATTAGCTCTTTATTTATCGCAACACGTCTACATCATTCGACTGGGTTTATTTCTACAAGAAACATAACGTGAAACTACCTTGTGTAATTGTTTAATTTGGAAGACACTTCAGCTAAACGAGTTTTTATGTAGCTCCTCATGGCCATTATTGTCATATCCAAATTTCAGGATCATATCAAGAACGTAATTTTCTGGTTCATTAATTCCTATAGAGTGGTTATGCATTGCCAAACCAGTTTAAAGGTAACTTGTGATAGTGTCTACACACACACGCGCGCGCACGTACGCGCGCACACATACAAAAATTATATATATATATATATATATATATATATATATAAAAGAGTAATGGATTTTTATTTATTAATCCGACATTTTTATCACAATAAACGTTATTTTTAATGGATACCCATATTTCGGTAAACGCTAACGTTTCTTTAGAAATAACTTTATTTACGTTTCAGATATGAAACTATTCAGTTATAAACATTCGGGAATCTAAAACGAAAAGGAAGTGCTTAAATGCAGTATTCAACCTTGCTTAATCGATGACGCTCTTCGTAGCCGAGTCGGTTATGAGCACGTCGAATCTAATGACGGTTTCTCCTACAAGGAGGACGTAGATTCGATTCCTGTCGCATTTTTCTCGAATATTTAAGCCCGTAGACAAAAATAAAATACTGTTTAAAAAAAAATAAACGGAGATTCTATTCAAATATGTTTATCCACTACAAATAACGTTTAAAGTGATATATATATATATATATATATATAATTATTTATTTAAAAATATGATTCCAACTCGCGACATAAGAGGTCTCATGTTTCAAAACAAGAGCCGAAAACTTCAATATAATTACTTGAATTAAATTGAGTTAAAGTAAGCTCTGTTCCATCTTCAAGCGAAATTTTTTTTTTTTTGGAATAACGTATTTCTGAAATTTACGTGTTTTAATAATTGAAATCAAAATTTCCATGGTAACAGCTAGGGCGAATTGTTTAAATTGTGTAGGCGAGTGTTGGTTGTTAATAATAAGTATCAGTATAGAGTTACTTTCATAGATGTCAAGTCAGGGAAAGGTGGGGGTGTCTAAATTTGAAACGGGAGATGTATTAACCCTAGTCTGTCTATGGAGATTTATTTATTTTTTTATTTTATTTTTTTATGAAAGGGATTTGTGCATATAAAAAAACTGCCGTAACGTTTGTTTTTTGACGACTTCATAAAGGGTCATCTTTTTTGTAGGGTATTTATACTATTTATTTGGGCTATGGATTATGAAAGTTATTATATTGTATGCTTGTTTTTAGCTAATTATTCAAACCATGAATCTGATGATGTCGACAAAAAACCGTTAACTCATGTCTATTGTTTAATAGATTATTATTATTTAGAAGCTTAATAATGTGCAATTTCTCATGGGGGCACAAAGGGCATGGGTCATCCCAAGTTTTACATTTTATATTTACTGTTTATAATTTTCCATTTTACTTTAGGTGTCCTATTTGTTTCCTTCAGATGCCAAAAATATTTAGATAGGAAGTCTGATTTCTTTTATTTATATTATTGAAAGAGCACTTATGCTGCCTCCATCTATCTTTAAAATCATTCTTCGTGGACCCAATGCAACTGTAAGCTGTAACTCAATTTTAGGGTGTTCTTATTGAATATATTACTAAGCTTACTATTGGTGGGGAAGTGTTTATCAATTAGAGCTAAGAATTTATGTCCTAGTTTAATACTAACCATTTGGTTGAACGGAGGGGTATACCAAATGATTTTTCTTTTCCTGTTTTTTTTTCTTATGACCAGTGCAATTGTCTCTATAGTCAATGTTGCTCTGACAATCTTGAACGTATAATAAAAAAACACAATAATAAGATCTTGAACAAACCCCTATGCCTGAATAGTATTAATAAAAACCCTGCACTTAAATCAGAGAATAAATGGGAAAAATTATGTAATTGTACAAACCTAGAAGACTGCCCATTAGAAAATAAATGCTGCATTATATCTGTTTTACCAATGTACTATATCATCCACTGAGAGTCCTAGCACTAATATGATATACATTAACACCCAACACACGCCTACACAATTTAAACAATTCGCCCTAGCTGTTACCATGGAAATTTTGATTTCAATTATTAAAACACGTAAATTTCAGAAATACGTTATTCCAAAAAAAATTTCGCTTGAAGATGGAACAGAGCTTACTTTAACTCAATTTAATTCAAATAATTATATTGAAGTTTTCGGCTCTTGTTTTGAAACATGAGACCTCTTATGTCGCCAGTTGGAATCATATTTTTAAATAAATAATTATATTTATGCTCTACTTTTGTATCGAGCACTATTTTTTAAAAATAATAACTAAAATACTAAGGAACTTTGGATTATTTACCTAACCAGTTCCTTCCTATTTTCTATATATTTTTCACACACACACACACATATATATATATATATATATATATATATATATATATATATATATATAGAGAGAGAGAGAGAGAGACATAAAATATTTAAAAAAACAATGTTCCTGCTACCGCGGTTTTTACCAATTAGGTATCGTCATATATATATCGTGAGGTATATATATATATATATATATATATATATATATATATATATAAAAGAGAGAGAGACAGATGTATTTTCAGTTCTGATTATAAATGTCATTTTATGGTACTTATATTGATCATGTAAAGACAAACAGTTGGTTTTATTGATCTTTAATCAAGTTTTTAATATAGCATATCGACCACTATATAATGGTCAGATAGAAACATCCATACATTCACAGGCATTTTCTTAACCTTGCCTGGTCTGACAGAAGGCTGCAATAATGGTGCACCCAAACAAGTTTAAAATCATAATGACATATGAGGTTAATTTAATACTTATTGCTCTACAGGGGTCCGTCTAAGCGTATGGTCTTAAAAACGAGAATAACGGAGCATACGCATGCGTAGTAAGCAGAAAAGACAGACTTTGTTTACATTTTGAAAACTTTACGCTTTAAATTTCAAGAGAAAATTTCGTAGAATGGCTAATTTTGTTTGGCGTTTTCTTTAATAGATTTGAACTTTGTTGTTTCTTTTTCCTACTTCCTATTAAATTTAATTTTGCATGAGTTCTCTAGCAGAAGTTCTCTACTGTGCCATGGCAGAAGAAGATTGGGATGGATTCAGGGTTGCTTGTGTATCGAGAGGTTGAATGACCATGAACAAGCTATGTAGGGCCGGCTAAATAAAATAGTGTTCAGAAAAATTTGTAAAAAAAAAAATAAACTACAGGAATATTATTTTTAGGAAAACAAAGAAAGAAAGAAAGAAAGAAAGAAAGAAAGAAAGAAAGAAAGAAAGAAAAGAAAAGAAAAGATTACGATAAACTAAAATGAGTAAAAAGGAAAATGTGAAGAGAGAGAAGGGGAATGGGAAAGAAAGAAGAAAAAGAAGAAAGATAAGAAAATAACATGAAGGAAAGTAGAAAGTAATGTAAATAAGGAGGAAGTGGAAATAATACAAACAAGAAAGAATGCAATGAAAAGTGAAGGAAATTGAAGAAAGTAACAAGATGAAAGTAAATAGGAAAGAGGTAAGAAGAATGAAATACAAAAAAGGAAAGAAAAAGAAAAATGGAAATATGAATAAGAAGAAGAAGGAAAAGGAAAAAAGAAGGAAGATAGCAAGAAGATAAAAAATGGAAGGAAAAAGAAAGATGGAAACATGAATAAGAATAAGGGGAAAAGAAAAAAGGAAAAAAGATAGCAAAACGGTAAAAGATGGAAAGAAAAAAGTAGATAGAAAGAAAAAGAAAAGATGAATAAGAAGAGTAAACGGAAGAAAAAGAATGGAATAAAGCCGATGGAAAGAAGAAAAGATATCAAAAGGAAAAGAAATATAGAAGCAAGAACTAAATAGAAAAGAAAGAAATGAGAAAAAGTGTAAAAGAATTTTATTTTAGAAAGAGGAATACGACAAATGACAATAATTGAATAATCACAGATTTCATTTGTTTGCTGACAAAAAACAAACATTGCCGCTGTTATTTGTTTTATTTGAATTTCAATGCCAAATTTTCAATGAGGAAAGCATTCAGACATTTTGGAATATTCGGCAATGTATGTTCGTTTATTTATGGCTATAAATCTAACTGAAATTTTGCCATTCTTCTGCATTTTTCTTTCACTCTCTCCGTTTTAACTTTCTTCAACACGTCTATTCTCTCCCTAATTTCTCTTCATTATCTCTTTATTTTTCTCTCTTGACACTCAATCGTTTTCTGTCACACTGTTTCTCACACTGTCTCTCTCATTTATTCTCCTGTCTTCTCTATTTTCACACCTTTCTCTCTATCTCTTTCCTTCACTCATTCCTTTCCCTCTTTTTATTATCCCTTTCCCAGTTCTCTTCCTTCTCTTTATGTTTTGTGGCCATTATTCTGTCTCTCTTTGCTTCTCCCACTAACTTACTTTTAACTTTATGTTTTCTTCTTTTTTCCTCTATATATTTTGTGTACTTATCTCCTTCTCCCAATCTTTTTTCCTCATTGCTTTCCCTTCCATGTCTCTCCTTATCTAAAACGGTATGTCTGCCCGTTTTTATCCCTCTCTCTTGTTCTCTTTCATCTCTCTCTTTGTTTCTCACTATCTGTCCAACATTTTGTGCCTAGTATATATATATATCTATATATATATATATATATATATATATATATATATATATATATATATATAAAGATAGATAGATATGAACAGATTGAGATTAGATAGATAGATAGATAGATAGATAGATAGATAGATAGATAGATAGATAGATAGATGAAACAAACAGATCAGTAACTAGTTCGATAGAGAGAGAGAGAGAGAGATCGATGTATTTGATACAAAAGATCCGCCAAGGTATCTACTTAAAAGAAGCAATACGTTTGAATGACAGTTGAAACGGATGAAAGGAATATATAAGGACTTTTGTCCGAAAATGGTTTGAAAGTCAAAGGAACTTCTGGAAAAATGAAGGTAAAAGATGAAGAACGAATGCCAGGCTGAAAGAAACTGTCCGGGAACAAGGACACGTTTGGCGTCATAAAAACAGAAGAACAAAAAAAGAAGTGGATGAGGGGATCAAATGAAATCTTCAAGGACACCAAGAGACGCTCGGTGTGATTAAAAAACGACCGATCATCCGGGGAATGCGTAAACATTTCTATACACACGTACGCACATTCACTTTTATAGAATAAAATATTATGTGCGTGTCTGTGTATACCCTTCACTGCGTGATTATGCACTTTTTATATCTATGTATTTGTATATATGTGCGTGTATATGTTGTCTGTGTGTGTGTGCATGTGTGTGCATGTGTGTGTGTATCTTTTAAACGCAAGACAGGGTCATGATTAGATGCCTAATAATACGATATTTCTAAATCATTAGAAAACTATTCAAAATAATCTGCCATACAAATTCATTTTAAATTGTTTACTATTACACTACCAATTATTTTCACTATAGAAATGCATTTTATATTATTATTAAGGTGCTCAGAATGTAATTATGTATTTTACTGTTCTGAATTATAAGGTAAAACGAACGCTGTAAACTGCATCTAGAATTAGTATATTTATGCTATCCAACAGTATGTTGTTTAAAGTGCGTTTAAGATTGGGAAATTACAAAAAGGAAATCTGAATTCCTCATCCTTGAATTCCTCATGGGTTTTCGTTTGAAAACCGAACACTACATTCCACTATATGCAGAAGACTTTCAACCACTAATGATAACCTTTTATTTTTGCATCGCATTGTTACAGGTGATGAAAAATGGGTTTTGCATGTCAAAAGAAAACGGAAAAAAACAATGGTTATCAACAAATGAGAAACCAGTACTAACAGCAAAACCAGTACTCCATCCACTGAAGTCCTTGCATCGTGTCTGGTGAAATATGAAAGGTGTCGTCCATTATGAGTTATTGAAACACGAAAAGACCATCACTGTAGACATTTATTGCTATAAACTTGATCAAACAAAAGAAGCATTACGTCGAAAATGTCCAGTTTTAGGAAAGAGAAAAAGTGTTATTCTCCTGCATGATTATGAAAGGACTCACTCTGCAAAATTAAAAATGCTAGGAAGGATTTTCTTCTATATCCTCCATACTAACCAGATTTAGCACCTACAATTCACTCCCCAAAATCTATGAAAAATTCATAATTTTTAATCCCTTCCTAGTTTGGCCGAGAAAGTTTTCCTATTCCTTTGTATCTTATACATATTACTTGAGTGATAGCTCTTTCTCATAATTATCAACTTACATCTCAGGTTCGTAAGTGATGAAGTTGGTTACATAAGAAAACCAACACTACTAAATTTTCAATAGACCTTCATCTCCGAAACAGTTTTGTTTACACAAACCTATTTTAAAAGTAGGCTCAAAATTCTCAAGTAGCAAACTTCAAAATTTAGTAACTTTTGGCTTTCAAAAGTATCCAAATCTAGCAACTCCAGGTGATATTTAAAAAAAAAACTTAGTAATTCATATACAAGCAGTTATTATATATGAAATGGGTTATTCCGTTTCACTGAATAATTTTCAATACAGCATAGAGTTATGTCGATCTATGTGTCACCATAAATATAATACTTATAGGACCGGATATGAACTCGTTGTTCCGGTCACTAAATGTAGCACTACATCTTGAGTGTCTTTCCGTCATATATATAATCTCCAGCTATTCAAATGTAATGTCAATCAGCATCTCCAGATGCCTTGATCTGTCCCCTGTCCTTCTCTTCATCCTTTCCTCTATCACGCCTCTTTACTCTTGCTCCCACTCTCTGTAACTCCTTGCGTGCTAGTGGCACTCCCCCCCCCCTGCTTGGGGTGAAATGCTTAAAAAAATAAAATAAAAATTTAATAACATTAGACAACCATTTCACAGGATGTTCAGAGTTACTAAGAAGGAAAAAATGCTATGAAAGATTATTCTTCGAGATTATTCACATAAGAGAAAAAACGAATGGATATCTATATGTCATAATAATATTTTCATTAGATAAACTATTTGTATAAATTCGCATACTAAACAGTAATATCTCGCTCCACATAAATCACCCCAAAACAGGATCTCAACAAATGAATCAGATATTATAAATCTAATGTGAAAATTTAATTTAATAATAAAAATCAAATTGAAAATTGCTATTCCATTAACATTTAACTTTTATAAATCACTTAATTATAAATTTGGAATTTTATTTAACACATCAATTTCATGTCATGAACAGAATTATGTTAAATAATTTACGTCAGCATAACTTTTTTTTTGTTGAGAAAAAATACAATCTGTACATAAACTTAGTTCAACAAAGTTCTTTTGAGGATTGGATGTGATAAGATCCATGAAGTTTATATAATTGAACTACTTTATTTTACTATTAAAGATCACACACACACCCACACCGACACATACACACACTTAAAAATATATATATATATATATATATATATATATATATATATATATATATATATATATATATATATGTATACGTGACAATGCTACCCACAATGTACCATTTAACAGCATATATAGTCGAGCGAAAACAGAACACACCTAGCCTGAAAGATTTCATGCAAGCATGAACAGATTGTCATCGCTCAATGTTAATCTGTGTCTACTTTTATATTTACATATGCTCTATCCCTGATATTGTGCACTTTTACCTATAAATATAGCATATCATATCATATCATATATATATATATATATATATATATATATATATATATATCAGAAAGTAAGATATTTAATGAGAGATAAAGGCAGAGGGCAGAGGAGCAATGACCAATGACAGAGAGAACATGAGAGAGAAGAAAGAGCAGTAGAGACGTCACTTCTTTACATCATCATCAAAATTCCTTTCAAAATTCCTCTAGTGTGTCTTATCACACAGCAGGATTTGACCAACATCGGCATTAATTCTCCCAGCGGCCATAAAATCTTACTGGAGGTAAACATGATCAAATGCAGGTGCTGTAGAATCAGGTGCATGAAAATGTATGTTCGGATGGTTCGAGTGGAACGTGGGGACGACTTTGTTGAGGAGAACAAAGAGAAAAGACCATTCAAAGACTAAAGTTGAAGCCAACTCAGAAACGCCAAAGCACAGAAATTCAGCTAATCGCCGTTACATTACAAGACACAATTCCAAGCGTTCACGGTATGTTCGCTTTTGTTTGGTTTGGTTTGGTTTATTTTATTTTACGGCCTGCCAACCTCGACTGTTTATTTAATGCCGACTAGATTTTTAGGATAGGTTCGTATGAATAGAATATATATTCTTTGTATGAAATCAGTATGTATATCAGCTTTCCATTGAGTATTCCTGTAAAGAGGGTTTTGCCGACAGTTAAATGTATTACTGGTAATATTTTTTTCAAAAATGTATTGCTGGTATTTTTACTATAAAAATCTATTTTTATGCTTTCATAGTGTTTTGATCTAAGTTTGGGGTTAACTATTTGCCAATAGCTGGGACCCTAACAGGTGCTACACCCCGGGTCAGGGTGGACCTGTGAACAACAGCAATTAAGAAGTGGTTCTACGCTCCTCAAAACCTGCCGAGAGAGGCCTTGTTGCCGGATGTTCGCGTTGTCTTTTAGATTAAATTCACACACAGATAAAAACAAATTCGGCATTACTAGTGTTAATATTGAAAGCATATAAACTTGCATGCATAAATCGACTTGCAAATTATTCAATAAAGCTCAAATCTTCGTATTATTATAGATCTTCTGCATCAACATTCATGGCTACCTTTTGTTTTCTCATTCTACCACTCCTCTTTTTTTTTTTTTTTTCTTCACGTTCAGTCCTCACACCAGTAGTAATTGGTCTCTTACACTGGACATTAAGTGACAGTAAGTCTCCTCAATAGTTCAACATACTCTTTTGAATTCTAGCTGTTTTCAAAAATAGTGTCGTCTGGATGACCTTGATTCTTCTTCAGAATCGAAGTGATTCTAAAGTTTTTTCTTTGCTCTTTCGATCAGTTTCGAGTACTCCAACAACGACAAGCGAAACTGCCAACTTTATGTTCCATAAGTTTTTTTTTTTCATTTCTTTCTTGGCATCCAAATATTTGTCCTTTCTATCAGTTGTATTCTCTAGTCTGCTCACATAGCGAAATCTACAATATTTTTTTATAATAATGATTTCTTTCTTGGCGTCTTCTTGGTTGCCTTCGTCTATGTCTTCGTTTATAATTCCTCCTCCTTCTCACTCTTATTATTAGTATTATTATTATTATTATTATTATTATTGGCTGTTTTCTTGAATACCTTCCACTTCTAAATGATATTTTTCTTTTCGCTGTTATTATTGTTGATCTTCTAGGCCGTCTTTTTGGCTTCTTTCGTCATCTCCTTTTTCTTATCACTATTGCTATTATTATTATTATTATTATTATTATGATTATTATTATTATTATTGGCTTTCTTCACCTTCTTCTTCTTGGTTATATTCGTCCTCTCCTTCTACATCTCCTTTTTCTCCTCACTACTATTATCATTGTCCTATTATTAGTAGTATTTTTATTATTGGACAATAATAATAATACTAAGTATTATTATTATTATTATTGTCCATCTTTTTCTTGGCTAACTTTGTTTTCTCTTTCTACATCTACTTTTTCTTCTCACTATTATTATTACTATTATTACTATTATTATTATTATTATTATTATTATTATTATCACTATTATTGTCCTTCTTCGTCGGCTTCTTCTTGGCTACCTTCGTCTTCTACAACATTTTCTTCTCATTATTATTATTAGTGATCTTCTTCGTCGTCTTTTTCTTGGCTCTCTTTGCCATCGCCATTTTCTTCTCTCTATCATTATTTATTTTCTTTTTCTTCTTACAAAAACTGAATCATACCTTTTAGATCACTTTGTTATTAATTTGACATTTGTTTTTCGCGTTTACAGATTTTGTTGGTCTTGTTGAAGTGTTTCGGGAAAAAATTATTCGAGAGATGATTGATTCTTTTATTTCGAACTTCTATAGAAATGGCTAGATTTTGATGATTTGTGAAGAATTTCTCTGAACAAAATGGTCACACTGAACATTACCAGCGATACAAAAGCTCTTTCTCTTGAAATGCAGATATTTTTTCACTTGTTTTCTCACCAATGTTTACAATGTCTACATAAACAGACAATCCTT